TTTAAACTTTTATAACTTTTTGATACTTTAATGTTTTTAAAAAAAATTTGATTTTCTTCTTTAAAAAGAGACCAACCTTAGGTCTGTATTCCAAAGTGTTCATAAATTACAACAATTTAAGTTGGGATAGTGCACTTTCATGCCTATTTTAAAAAATGGGGGGGGTGACAGTTAAGGGGTTAAAAACGAAACTAAATTGTATTGTCAATTTGAAAACGATATTAAAATAAAACGAATTTAAAAATGCAACTATAACCTTGCTACACGAGTAAATGGAGAGTCAGCGAGAGGCTCATGTGATTGGCTACAAGAAGGTGGTGGACCCGCCCTCCCCCTCACGCTTGCAAAACTCAGTTAGTGAGAGAATCGTGCCAAAATTGTAAGCGCAGAGAAAAGAAAGACGGAGCTGTACATATCGGTTTATTTCAGGAACTTTTTACCCCACACACACAAGTCATTTAGACAGACACAACAGTTAGTTTTTTTACACATACAGATTGGTTCTATGCAGTCAATCCGTTTTGCAGTTCTTTAAACTGTTGTCTTCACTTGGAACTTTTTACCCCACACACACAAGTCATTTAGACATTTGCAACAGTTAGTTTTTTTACACATACAGATTGGTTCTATGCAGTCAATCCGTTTTGCAGTTCTTTAAACAGTTGTTTACGCTTGCAAATCACTGTTCACAGGCTTGCAGTGCTGTTGTCCGTATTTTAGCGAAAACAACGTGCCAAAAGTGTAAGCGCAGAAAAATGGAAGTCAGAAGAATGCAGATCATATATATATTTTTTTGCCTTAGCATGAAGCTGCAGTTTCACAATACATGAATGACACTTACGAGTAACAGTAAAATGCTGCAAATAATTTTTTCTTCCGCTTGAAACGCGATTTACACCTTTACAAAGCTTCTCTTGTGCATGCAAATTTAATTTACGCTTACAGTCTTATGTACACTTCCACAACTCTTACTCTGCGTATGCAAATCTTTTAGGCATTAAATTACCTTCATAATTTAGTTTAAGTATATTACATTACAAATAAAAAGCAAAGTCAGTTGAGAACGTTTATTAAACAAAAGAAAAGCATCTGAAACAGCGGTCACCGGCCGATTCTGGACTGAAGAATACGGGCGACGGGTGAGCGTAGTCAAAGGCCAGGCGAGATGGTCGGTATGGAGAAAACAGTCCCAGAGGGCAGAGGCAAACGCAGAATCAGTATGAAGGCACAAGTCAACACCAGGCAGACAATCCAGTAACAGAGACAGATGCGCGGCAGGCACAGATACAACTGGGCCGAGAACAAGAAAGATCAGAGCTTGACACAACAGGACAGGACTTCACAGGAACTTATCAGTGATCTATTATTTAAACATTTGTTGTAAGCCTTGGTTAAGATTCAGTTCACTTCAATTGATTTGTGTGCTTATATTTTTTAGAATATTTAGTTGTAAGTTAGTGGACATTTCTTATTGCTTTTTTGAGTCAAATGAAATATGAAATAAATTGAAATAAAAAATAAATCATATTAAAGGGATAGTTAATCCAAAAATGAAAATCTGTCATTAATTACTCACCCTCATGTCTTTCCAAACCCGTAAGACCTTCGTTCATCTTCAAACACAAATAAAGATATGTTTGATGAAATCTGAGAGCTTTTTGACCCTGCATAGACAGCAAGGGTCCTACCACAGTCGAGGCACAGAAAGGTACCAAGAACATCGACAAAATAGTCCATGTGACATCAGTGGTTCAACCCTAATTTTATGAAGCTATGAGAATACATTTTGTGTGCAAAAAAATCTAAAATAACAACTTTTTTCAACAATTATTCTCTGTGTCACCCTAGCACCATTTTGGAGAGTACAAAGAAGCATGTGTGTGCTTTCCTCTCAATGTAAACAAGGAGCAGTGCATGCGTGTTCTGTGTCAGCAGCACCACACACACATTGTTTACATGCAGATCAAAGCATGCGCATGCATGGTAATAGTCAAAGCTATGACTGTTTATTGAGTTATTTTTTATTTAAGTTGGACAGTACAATTACAACATTTAAAGCAAACAGAATGGTCTGACTAGCTTTGTTAAATTATAGGCCTACTAAAAATTCTAATTCACTCTCTGACTGTAGGTGGCAGCAATACAAAGCAGCGCTGCACTTATAAACACTGCTTTAATATGCATTATACAGAGGCCAGATGAAAAGTAAATGCCTGAGGTGTCTCTTCTCCTCTGCGTCTGTCTTGTCCTGTCTCTGGCCTCTGTTAACATCCTGTTTACAACTGCCTTTGACACCCTATATGCCTGGTGTGAATACAATCATATGACCTGAATCACTTGCCCGTTACTTCTTTAAAATAAAATAACATCAGATGTTCGCAAAGAATTTGTTGCAAAAACACGTGCCGAAGACCTACTTAAACAAATGAGCAGTGCTGAGGATGTTCGGGACCAGAACTGGCTTAGAGCTTCATATTCTTTAAATAATATAAAATGTGACTGTGTAAACCACATCTTCAGAAAGAGTTTGCCTTCTGTTTTCTTTTTTCTGTAAGTAGAACATCCATGAGAACATGCACCACACAGAAAAACCTCCTCAGCCAAGACCCAAAACAAGGACCTTCTCGCTGTGAAGCTACATATGCAGCTCTTTGTTGAAGCACTGCTATATCAGCTCTAAACTGAATGTCAGTAACGTTAATGATTTAATATGAAATGTTCAGAAACCTTTACAAGCTACCTCTTAAAATGCTGAACTGGGATCATGAGCCAATATTGTTTTAATCGTAATTACTAAGGTCTATTGTATGTGAAAATCAAGTGAGAAGACATACTGTGTGGGAGGTGTAACTGGAGCAGTTTATTCACACTTCCTACAAAGCTTCACTAAACCACTACAATACAGACCAACAGCACTCAGCTCTCCAGCTCTTCTGTCACTTTCAGCTTTCAAAAACTTTTTAGACCATTTCTGTTGTGCTTTGTTTTAAATGTTGACTTTTCTGAATTCAGGTCTGTTGTTATTTGAGGAAAATGGAAAATGTTGAGACTTTTATTTTTATCTGTCTGTGCTCATGGAGTCTGGCTGGTAAGCAGTTTTAGCAACATAATTCTGATATTTATTATTTCCAACATTTATTTTCATGTTTTATCAGACTAATACACTAAAACATCTTTGTGTTCGTGATGTCCATTTTAACACTTTTCTCTTCCACTCACATCAAAGGGTTTATTTATTGCACATTATTGAATTATACATTGAAATTATACATTAAGTGCAGAGTCAGTAATTGTATTGCAGTGAGATATTTTCAAATAGTTTCAAAGAGTAAATATTTGTTCTCCAGGTGTGTTTGGTGTTAATGAAGTGAAGTCAGTGTCAGTGATGGAGGGAGATTCTGTCACTCTGAACACTGATGGTACTGATATACAGAAAGATGATCAGATAATGTGGAAATTTGGACACAAAAACATTCTCATCGCTCAAATCAACAGAAAATACAATAAGAGCAGGGATTATGATGATAAAGCCGGTGAGAGATTCAGAGGCAGACTGAAGCTGGACAATGAGACTGGATCTCTGAGCATCACAAACACCAGAACCACAGACTCAGGAGTTTAGTCGAGGCACAGAAAGGTACCAAGAACATCGACAAAATAGTCCATGTGACATCAGTGGTTCAACCCTAATTTTATGAAGCTATGAGAATACATTTTGTGTGCAAAAAAATCTAAAATAACAACTTTTTTCAACAATTATTCTCTGTGTCACCCTAGCACCATTTTGGAGAGTACAAAGAAGCATGTGTGTGCTTTCCTCTCAATGTAAACAAGGAGCAGTGCATGCGTGTTCTGTGTCAGCAGCACCACACACACATTGTTTACATGCAGATCAAAGCATGCGCATGCATGGTAATAGTCAAAGCTATGACTGTTTATTGAGTTATTTTTTATTTAAGTTGGACTGTACAATTACAACATTTAAAGCAAACAGAATGGTCTGACTAGCTTTGTTAAATTATAGGCCTACTAAAAATTCTAATTCACTCTCTGACTGTAGGTGGCAGCAATACAAAGCAGCGCTGCACTTATAAACACTGCTTTAATATGCATTATACAGAGGCCAGATGAAAAGTAAATGCCTGAGGCGTCTCTTCTCCTCTTTGCATCTGTCTTGTCCTGTCTCTGGCCTCTGTTAACATCCTGTTTACAACTGCCTTTGACACCCTATATGCCTGGTGTGAATACAATCATATGACCTGAATCACTTGCCCGTTACTTCTTTAAAATAAAATAACATCAGATGTTCGCAAAGAATTTGTTGCAAAAACACGTGCCGAAGACCTACTTAAACAAATGTGCAGTGCTAAGGGTGTTCGTGACCAGAACTGGCTTAGAGCTTCATATTCTTTAAATAATATAAAATGTGACTGTGTAAACCACATCTTCAGAAAGAGTTTGCCTTCTGTTTTCTTTTTTCTGTAAGTAGAACATCCATGAGAACATGCACCACACAGAAAAGCCTCCTCAGCCGAGACCCAAAACGAGGACCTTCTGGCTGTGAAGCTACATATGCAGCTCTTTGTTGAAGCACTGCTATATCAGCTCTAAACTGAATGTCAGTAACGTTAATGATTTAATATGAAATGTTCAGAAACCTTTACAAGCTACCTCTTAAAATGCTGAACTGGGATCATGAGCCAATATTGCCAATATTGTAATTACTAAGGTCTATTGTATGTGAAAATCAAGTGAGAAGACATACTGTGTGGGAGGTGTGGGAGGTGTAGTTTATTCACACTTACTACAAAGCTTCACTAAACCACTACAATACAGACCAACAGCACTCAGCTCTCCAGCTCTTCTGTCACTTTCAGCTTTCAAAAACTTATTAGAACATTTCTGTTGTGTTTTGTTTTAAATGTTGACTTTTCTGAATTCAGGTCTGTTGTTATTTGAAGAAAATGGAAAATGTTGAGACTTTTATTTTTATCTGTCTGTGCTCATGGAGTCTGGCTGGTAAGCAGTTTTAGCAACATAATTCTGATATTTATTATTTCCAACATTTATTTTCATGTTTTATCAGACTAATACACTAAAACATCTTTGTGTTCGTGATGTCCATTTTAACACTTTTCTCTTCCACTCACATCAAAGGGTTTATTTATTGCACATTATTGAATTATACATTGAAATTATACATTAAGTGCAGAGTCAGTAATTGTATTGCAGTGAGATATTTTCAAATAGTTTCAAAGAGTAAATATTTGTTCTCCAGGTGTGTTTGGTGTTAATGAAGTGAAGTCAGTGTCAGTGATGGAGGGAGATTCTGTCACTCTGAACACTGATGGTACTGATATACAGAAAGATGATCAGATAATGTGGAAATTTGGACACAAAAACATTCTCATCGCTCAAATCAACAGAAAATACAATAAGAGCAGGGATTATGATGATAAAGCCGGTGAGAGATTCAGAGGCAGACTGAAGCTGGACAATGAGACTGGATCTCTGAGCATCACAAACACCAGAACCACAGACTCAGGAGTTTATAACATAACCAGCATAAGATCAGAGACACCGCTCAACATCTTCAGTCTTACTGTCTACGGTGAGTAGAGAAGTATTTACCCTGTTGACTCCATTTCATCTGCGAGTGTTGCTTCAATGATCGATTTTTGGCTGTGGACTTTAAGAAAAATAAGCATCTTAAAAATTTTAAACTTGAAATAATATTGCTGACTATGTAATACATCAAAGCACTATGTGCATAATTTGACAATAACAGCTCGACTGGAAATGAAGCATAATGAAAATATTCTGTGATATTTACATTAAAACTTCCATATTAATCTTCTAATTATTTTACATTTTTTATGATCATGTAGTATAAAAAAATTTAAATATTTTATATAAAATTGTATCTAAAATTTGAATGATATATAAAAATATAATTATATAGTACAGAAATAATTTTCACACAATAGATTTTTTAAAACTAGTTTAAATCATCTTATAGTCTTAGACATGTTTATTAATACTTTTATGATGGATTTTCATATTAGAAAACTGAAAGTCTCAGTTTGGGACAAGAGAAAAACTATAAATCAATACATACAACTAATGTGGTTTCAACCCTGTCACACATCAACACACATAAATAAGTTTCTTTTAATTTTAGAAATTAGTTTGATTAAAATTATGTAATAAATTATGTAATTTTTATGTAAAGTCCATCAACTAATTCAAAAGTAATTCAATAGTAAAACTTCAATTCCATTTTAAATATGAATTTGTTTGAGAGAGGGGTTGCCAACGTCATATGAGAGATGAACACAACTGTCTGCCACAATTAACTTCTCTAATATCTCTTTTAATATCTCTCTAATAGCTCATTTGCCTGTTCCTGTCATCAGCAGAGACTGTGCTTCATCATCACCATCATCACCACAGCAGAATTGTTCATCATCATCAGGATCATCAGTGTCCAAATGTGTGTTTCTGTGTTCAGTGGTGAATGTGGGTCATGTGACTCTCTCCTGGTACAAAGGAAACAGTATCTTCTCCAGCATCAGTGTGTCTGATCTCAACAGAAGTCTTTCTTTACATCTGGAGTGTCTGGATGATTCCTACAGCTGTGTGGTGAACAATCCCATCAGCAACCAGACTCAACATCTCAACAACACTGAACTCTGTCAGCCATGTTCAGGTACTTCTGTGATAATATTTAATGTTTATGTACACATTCACTCACACTAATGACACTCTCCTTCACATCCTCCAGATGTGATAGTGTTGGTCTCTGCTGCTGCTGCTGCTGGATCTCTGTTGATTGCAGCTGCAGTTGGGATCTTCTGCATCTGCAGGAAACACAGAAAAACAGACAAAGAAGGCAAGTATTGCCTACTTTTACCTACTGCATGTGTGTGTATAATAATATAAAACAATACTCAAATATCAGTTCATTGAGAATTTTGTTTCTGTTATGTTTTGTTACAGTTCAGATCCGTGATAGAGAGATCACTTACGCTGATCCCACATTTTACAAAAGACATAAATCGGTAAGCGTATCTATGATGTTTATGTATTATTTTAGCAGTGAGTCCATTTTAAGTGTGTGTTTAGTGATTTACTCTGATGCATTTATATTGTAGGGTCACACAAGAATATCATTTAAAGACATTACAATATCGCCACATCACAAACTCTAACATGTCATCCAAGACACATGTATTCCCACCAAAATGTGAAATTATATTATAGGCAAATTTTAACCTAATTAAAATATTTAATCAAACAAAGAAAGAGAGAAATACTGAAATATTCCCTCCATATGTAACACAATCTCATGCCAATTCATAGGTAAATTATGTTCTGGTGAAGTGGTTGGTAATTTATCTAATTTATCTGCTTACACCCCATAATGAGAATGTTTACACGTGGACCTTCATGCTCACATTTTTGTAATAATGGAAAGTTTTTGTATGATTCACCGTACAAATTCATATGAAATCTCCACGTCGTAACATAGTTACATTTTCCTGTGAGATCAGATTGTCTGTTCTCCAAACTTCTTGGAACCTGGTTTGAAGAAAATAGCAGTTTTCTGCTGATATGATTGTTACTGTATGTGCAAAAATTGATAAAGACTGGTCTGTTTGTAGATCAGCAAATATAAAGCAAAATGCTTTTTATTTAAACATGCTTCTTTTAGCCTATATTTAAAACTATATTCCAAAAATAAATAAATAAATATAAATATAATAAATATATATATATATATAAAACTGTGGAACGCACAACACTATTTATACACTCATACACTTATTTATCTAACACACATACTTAGTCTACACCTCAAATTTGCACATAATATACCTGTGAGAAGACATACTGTGTGGGAGGTGTAACTGGAGCAGTTTATTCACACTTACTACAAAGCTTCACTAAACCACTACAATACAGACCAACAGCACTCAGCTCTCCAGCTCTTCTGTCACTTTCAGCTTTCAAAAACTTATTAGAACATTTCTGTTGTGTTTTGTTTTAAATGTTGACTTTTCTGAATTCAGGTCTGTTGTTATTTGAAGAAAATGGAAAATGTTGAGACTTTTGTCGTCTCTTCTCCTCTTTGCATCTGTCTTGTCCTGTCTCTGGCCTCTGTTAACATCCTGTTTACAACTGCCTTTGACACCCTATATGCCTGGTGTGAATACAATCATATGACCTGAATCACTTGCCCGTTACTTCTTTAAAATAAAATAACATCAGATGTTCGCAAAGAATTTGTTGCAAAAACACGTGCCGAAGACCTACTTAAACAAATGTGCAGTGCTAAGGGTGTTCGTGACCAGAACTGGCTTAGAGCTTCATATTCTTTAAATAATATAAAATGTGACTGTGTAAACCACATCTTCAGAAAGAGTTTGCCTTCTGTTTTCTTTTTTCTGTAAGTAGAACATCCATGAGAACATGCACCACACAGAAAAGCCTCCTCAGCCGAGACCCAAAACGAGGACCTTCTGGCTGTGAAGCTACATATGCAGCTCTTTGTTGAAGCACTGCTATATCAGCTCTAAACTGAATGTCAGTAACGTTAATGATTTAATATGAAATGTTCAGAAACCTTTACAAGCTACCTCTTAAAATGCTGAACTGGGATCATGAGCCAATATTGTTTTAATCGTAATTACTAAGGTCTATTGTATGTGAAAATCAAGTTGTTCAACATCTTCAATCTTACTGTCTATGGTGAGTAGATAATTATTTACCCTGTTAACTCCATTTCATCTGCGAGTGTTGCTTCAATTATCAATTTTGGCTGTGGACTTTAAGAAAAATAAGCATCTTAAAAATCTTAAACTTGAAATAATATTGCTGACTATGTAATACATCAAAGCACTATGTGCATAATTTGACAATAACAGCTCGACTGGAAATGAAGCATAATGAAAATATTCTGTGATATTTACATTAAAACTTCCATATTAATCTTCTAATTATTTTACATTTTTTATGATCATGTAGTATAAAAAAATTTAAATATTTTATATAAAATTGTATCTAAAATTTGAATGATATATAAAAATATAATTATATAGTACAGAAATAATTTTCACACAATAGATTTTTGAAAACTAGTTTATATAATCTTATAGTCTTAGACATGTTTATTAATACTTTTCTGATGGATTTTCATATTAGAAAACTGAAAGTCTCAGTCTGGGACAAGAGTAAAACTATAAATCAATACATAAAACTAATTTGGTTTCAACCCTGTCACACATCAACACACATAAATAAGTTTCTTTTAATTTTAGAAATTAGTTTGATTAAAATTATGTAATAAATTATGTAATTTTTATGTAAAGTCCATCAACTAATTCAAAAGTAATTCAATAGTAAAACTTCAATTCCATTTTAAATATGAATTTGTTTGAGAGAGGGGTTGCCAACGTCATATGAGAGATGAACACAACTGTCTGCCACAATTAACTTCTCTAATATCTCTTTTAATATCTCTCTAATAGCTCATTTGCCTGTTCCTGTCATCAGCAGAGACTGTGCTTCATCATCACCATCATCACCACAGCAGAATTGTTCATCATCATCAGGATCATCAGTGTCCAAATGTGTGTTTCTGTGTTCAGTGGTGAATGTGGGTCATGTGACTCTCTCCTGGTACAAAGGAAACAGTATCTTCTCCAGCATCAGTGTGTCTGATCTCAACAGAAGTCTTTCTTTACATCTGGAGTGTCTGGATGATTCCTACAGCTGTGTGGTGAACAATCCCATCAGCAACCAGACTCAACATCTCAACAACACTGAACTCTGTCAGCCATGTTCAGGTATGTCTGTGGCGGTACGTCTATATCAGTGTTTTCCATTAATAGACTGTGGTGGCCTGCCGTAATCTGTCCATATTCAACTGACAAATACTTTTAAACTTTTTATAATGACATATGTTGTGTTTTGTGACATTGGTTTGGCAAAGCATCTGTCAATTAAACTAAAAGTGAAATAGTGATATGGATTAGAGCAATTTAATTAAATGAGTATTTAGTCTCTCACGCTGGGAGTATCAAAGCGAAGGGCACACTGTGCACACGAGCAGCTCAGTATCTGGTGTTCTTGTCATGGAAAATGGTTTGCTCTCAAAGTGCATCAATCCAGTGCATTTAACCCATTTAATCCCAAATTTTTCCCAGACATGAAAATATCCAAATGATTACTAATGACTAATGTGTCATTAGTAAGCCTTTGAATAATCAATAATTATTTTTTGAAATATTTTTGTAAAAGTGTGTGAAAAATTGTGTTTTATGGTCGGTCACAATTGTGACAGGTGGGATAATGTGTGTACTGTATTAACATATTTCTGCAGTCATAAAAATTGTTATATATCTTAGCCCAGCTATTTTAAACTGTTTGATCACATTCTAGGGTTACTATTATGCAGTGGCGGCTCCAGGATTTTTTTGTTGGGGGTGCTAAAGGGGGGCTTAACAGTTCAGATGGGGTGCTAAAAAACTAATTAATTTGAGTGAACGTAATGAACGCCTATAAGCTTCAGCTATCTAAATGGCATGCAAATGTAGCCACCTTGTGTTTTTTATCTACAGCAGCTTCGAAAAAGGCACATTTTACTTTTTTTTTTCCTGTGGTATTAAACTTCTCATATGCCACTGTTATTAGTAATATAACTTCTAATGCCAACATCCAATGACACTTACAAATTAATGCAATTTATGAACGCACATAGAAAAGAGAGGAAGTAGGGATTTTTTTTTCTTTTTTCATTATATTATTATTATTATTATTTATTTATTTTTTTTACTCATTTCTATTTAGTCATTTTTTCTGACCATCAAGTGTCAGTCACGCTCAATGCCAACTGGCAGGAAAACATGGTAAATTCTAACCATTTTTTTTTTTTTACGATAGATAGCCTAAAGTGCCGACAATTCATATTTTTTACACACAGTGGTGGCATAGCGGACTGGCACGCAGGGCGCGGACTGCGGTGGGGCGCCGCGATAACCTCCCCATGCTGAGATGCGTCCTATCATGTGTCGAGTCGACGACAGCCAGAGATATTGTCAAAAGCATCAAAAATTGACAATATTAAGAGGATTTAGCATTTGCAGTTAATGCATGTTACATTCTTCTTATTATTAGGCCTTATATTATTAGGTTACTTTTATTATTAAATTACATGAAATTATTGCCCCGCAATAATTTCATAGCGCATTACCGCATGACGCGCTGTCCTCATTAAAAATGTTTTTCAAAAGTTATTGGGGGGGCTGTGCCGGGGCTAAGCAATTTTCTGATGGGGCTATAGCCCCGTCAAGCCCCGCCCTAGCGCCGCCACTGCTACTATGCACAAAAAAAAACTTATGCAACATTGATAGCAACACTGAGATAAAAGACAAAAACAAAAAAAATTCAACCATCAACGCATTTCAAAATTGTTACTTTTTTGTAAAATATAACATAAAATTTTTATGAGTGCTACCAGTATTACAACATCAATATTGTACATTTTTGGTAACATTTAAATTTTTAATTTAGTGCAATATTTTGTCATTGCAACATTTTAGTGTAATTTTCACTAACAACTGCAATTGGATTTATACCTAAGTTCACTGTTATCCCACCGGTCACTATTGTGACCATCAAGATGTTTACTCATTCTGACCACACTCAACAAAACTGAATATATGTGAATTCATATTTATTAATACTAGACACCTTAAAGATAATGTGTACCAAAAATCTTTGTCATATCTTTATGTTAACATACTTTACTTCGTTTTGGAGCTTTGTTGCCGTTATCATCTTCTCAAGGTGCAAACAGGAAATAAACTGTTCTGGTCATGCGGCAGTTTGCACTAATCATGTGAAACTGCACATATTTAATCGAGACCCTTTATTTTTTTCCATATTTGCAGGAAGTGCACTAAAACATCAGTCAGTAAGGATTTTAGAGCTTTATAAATGAAAAGCTTTTTTTTTAGAGCTTTTTTTTTTTACGGTCACTATTGTGAAAGGTGGGATTAAATGGGTTAACTCTAAAAATGTACAAAAATTTATTTCAGGGGGCTGTATATCTATTTTAATCATATTCATTTTTTCTCTCAGAAGTCTGTATCCTCTGCTGTGGTGTTACTGAAGCTGTGATCCGATTGGCTGTCTCTGCTCTGGTGGGTGTGGCTGCTGTTGCTATGTTGGTTTATGACATCAGATCCAGAAGCCATCAACAGAAGAAGAGAGAGCAAACATCAACATCACACACTGACTAATCAGATATTCAGGAAAGTGGAGATGTTCTTGAACAAGTGGAGACATTACATATTAAAAACTAAATTAAGTAATTAGTATTTTGTTCACTTCAATTGTATTTGTAGCACTTTTCACAATGCAAATCTTTCTAAAGCAGCTTTTCAAAGAGTAGTGCCTTACAAACGTACTCCGATTAATCAAACAGTCAATAAATATATTTGTATGATAGTATTTCTTGTTTGTTTGTTTGTATTCTGTTGTATTTTTGTAAAATAAGTTGCCAGATCAAAGACTACTGCTCAATGAGAAAGTGATCTCTACACCTGTAGTTATCTGAATAAAAGCTTTATTGCATCTGCGAAATAAGACCCTGTGAGGGAAATAAGACACAGCTGCCAATGTTTGACCTATTTTATGACTTATTAGTTTATTCTAATGCTCTAGTGATATTGCTTTCCACATTTTATCATACAGAATAATGTGATGCTATTATTTGAAGGGGTCATATGATGCGATTTAATTTTTTCCTTTCTCTTTGGAGTGTTACAAGCTCTTGGTGCATAAAGAAGATCTGTAAAGTTGCAAAGACTAAAGTCTTAAATCCAAAGAGATATTCTTTATAAAAGTTAAGAGTCAACCACGTCATTTGTTGTAAGCCTTGGTTAAGATTTAGTTCACTTCAATTGATTTGTGTGCTTATATTTCTTAGAATATTTAGTTGTAAGTTAGTGGACATTTCTTATTGCTTTTTTGAGTCAAATGAAATATGAAATAAATTATGAAATAAAAAATAAATCATATTAAAGGGATTGTTAATCCAAAAATGAAAATCTGTCATTAATTACTCACCCTCATGTCTTTCCAAACCCGTAAGACCTTCATTTATCTTCAAACACAAATAAAGATATTTTTGATGAAATCCGAGAGCTTTCTGACCCTGCATAGACAGCAAGGGTCCTACCACAGTCGAGGCACAGAAAGGTACCAAGAACATCGACAAAATAGTCCATGTGACATCAGTGGTTCAACCCTAATTTTATGAAGCTACGAGAATACATTTTGTGCGCAAAAAAAGTAAAATAACGACTTCATTCAACAATTATTCTCTGTGTCACCCTAGCACCATTTTGGAGAGTACAAAGAAGCATGTGCGTGCTTTCCTCTGAACGTAAACAAGGAGCAGTGCATGCGTGTTCTGTGTCAGCAGCACCACACACACATTGTTTACATGCAGATCAAAGCATGCGCATGCATGGTAATAGTCAAAGCTATGACTGTTTATTGAGTTATTTTTTATTTAAGTTGGACAGTACAATTACAACATTTAAAGCAAACAGAATGGTCTGACTAGCTTTGTTAAATTATAGGCCTACTAAAAATTCAAATTCACTCTCTGACTGTAGGTGGCAGCACTACAAAGCAGCGCTGCACTTATAAACACTGCTTTAATATGCATTATACAGAGGCCAGATGAAAAGTAAATGCCTGAGGTGTCTCTTCTCCTCTGCGTCTGTCTTGTCCTGTCTCTGGCCTCTGTTAACATCCTGTTTACAACTGCCTTTGACACCCTATATGCCTGGTGTGAATACAATCATATGACCTGAATCACTTGCCCGTTACTTCTTTAAAATAAAATAACATCAGATGTTCGCAAAGAATTTGTTGCAAAAACACGTGCCGAAGACCTACTTAAACAAATGAGCAGTGCTGAGGATGTTCGGGACCAGAACTGGCTTAGAGCTTCATATTCTTTAAATAATATAAAATGTGACTGTGTAAACCACGTCTTCAGAAAGAGTTTGCCTTCTGTTTTCTTTTTTCTGTAAGTAGAACATCCATGAGAACATGCACCACACAGAAAAACCTCCTCAGCCAAGACCCAAAACAAGGACCTTCTCGCTGTGAAGCTACATATGCAGCTCTTTGTTGAAGCACTGCTATATCAGCTCTAAACTGAATGTCAGTAACGTTAATGATTTAATATGAAATGTTCAGAAACCTTTACAAGCTACCTCTTAAAATGCTGAACTGGGATCATGAGCCAATATTGTTTTAATCGTAATTACTAAGGTCTATTGTATGTGAAAATCAAGTGAGAAGACATACTGTGTGGGAGGTGTAACTGGAGCAGTTTATTCACACTTCCTACAAAGCTTCACTAAACCACTACAATACAGACCAACAGCACTCAGCTCTCCAGCTCTTCTGTCACTTTCAGCTTTCAAAAACTTTTTAGACCATTTCTGTTGTGCTTTGTTTTAAATGTTGACTTTTCTGAATTCAGGTCTGTTGTTATTTGAGGAAAATGGAAAATGTTGAGACTTTTATTTTTATCTGTCTGTGCTCATGGAGTCTGGCTGGTAAGCAGTTTTAGCAACATAATTCTGATATTTATTATTTCCAACATTTATTTTCATGTTTTATCAGACTAATACACTAAAACATCTTTGTGTTCGTGATGTCCATTTTAACACTTTTCTCTTCCACTCACATCAAAGGGTTTATTTATTGCACATTATTGAATTATACATTGAAATTATACATTAAGTGCAGAGTCAGTAATTGTATTGCAGTGAGATATTTTCAAATAGTTTCAAAGAGTAAATATTTGTTCTCCAGGTGTGTTTGGTGTTAATGAAGTGAAGTCAGTGTCAGTGATGGAGGGAGATTCTGTCACTCTGAACACTGATGGTACTGATATACAGAAAGATGATCAGATAATGTGGAAATTTGGACACAAAAACATTCTCATCGCTCAAATCAACAGAAAATACAATAAGAGCAGGGATTATGATGATAAAGCCGGTGAGAGATTCAGAGGCAGACTGAAGCTGGACAATGAGACTGGATCTCTGAGCATCACAAACACCAGAACCACAGACTCAGGAGTTTATAACATAACCAGCATAAGATCAGAGACACCGCTCAACATCTTCAGTCTTACTGTCTACGGTGAGTAGAGAAGTATTTACCCTGTTGACTCCATTTCATCTGCGAGTGTTGCTTCAATGATCGATTTTTGGCTGTGGACTTTAAGAAAAATAAGCATCTTAAAAATTTTAAACTTGAAATAATATTGCTGACTATGTAATACATCAAAGCACTATGTGCATAATTTGACAATAACAGCTCGACTGGAAATGAAGCATAATGAAAATATTCTGTGATCTTGTAATCATTTTGCATTTTTTATGATAATGTAGTATAAAAAATAAAAATATTTTATATAAAATTATATCTAAAATTTGAATGATATATAAAAATATAATTATATAGTACAGAAATAATTTTCACACAATAGATTTTTTAAAACTAGTTTAAATCATCTTATAGTCTTAGACATGTTTATTAATACTTTTATGATGGATTTTCATATTAGAAAACTGAAAGTCTCAGTTTGGGACAAGAGAAAAACTATAAATCAATACATACAACTAATGTGGTTTCAACCCTGTCACACATCAACACACATGAATACGTTTCGTTTAATTTTAGAAATAAGTTTTATTAAAATTATGTAATAAATTATGTAATTTTTATGTAAAGTCCATCAACTAATTCAAAAGTAATTCAATAGTGATACTTCAATTCCATTTTAAATGGGAATTTGTTTGAGAGAGGGGTTGCCAACGTCATATGAGTGATGAACACAACTGTCTGCCACAATGAACTTCTCTAATATCTCTTTTAATATCTCTCTAATAGCTCATTTGCCCCTGTCATCAGCAGAGACTGTGCTTCATCATCACCATCACAGCAGAATTGTCCATCATTATCAGGATCATCATCATCAGTGTCCAAATGTGTGCTGCTGTGTTCAGTGGTGAATGTGGGTCATGTGACTCTCTCCTGGTACAAAGGAAACAGTTTATTGTCCAACATCAGTGTGTCTGATCTCAACATCAGTCTGTCTCTACCTCTGGAGGTGGAATATCAGGAGAAAAACACCTACAGCTGTGTGCTCAACAATCCCATCAGCAACCAGACTCAACATCTCAACATCAGCAGACTCTGTCAGACATATCCAGGTTGGACAGTGGTGATATTAGCATTTGATGTCATAGTGCTGATATTTCATGTAGCGTTTCATTAACAGATTCATTAACACAAACGTCTCATTTTGTCTGTTACAGAACACGGCCTAACCATATTGTACACAGTGTTAATCTCTGCTGCTGGATTTCTGTTGATTGTTGCTGCAGTCATGATCTTCTGCACCTGCAGGAAACCTAAAAAAGTAAACCAAGAAGGCAAGTATGACCTAATGCTTATACATCTGTAATAAAAAATAAAAATAGATGTTATTAACATTAGAATAACATGAAAGAGTGTTCTACAGAAAACGAAACAATAATTCTCAAATATGTTTTATTTAGAGTATTGTTATTTTAACATGTCTATCATTATTGTTGCAACAGATACAACATGTACAGAAGAGATCATTTACTCTGAAACAACATTCTACAAAAGAAATGCACATAAATCGGTAGGAGCATTTATTTTGGTGCCAGGCTTTTTCTTGTGATCTGTGGAGGAAATATTTATGCAGAGTACAAGAAAGTTAAGGCATTCAATGAGTCAGCTGAACAGAAATTATAGTGACACTCCACATAAATAAGCAGTGCACTAGTACTTCAGCCATATTTAAAACCAGTGGTGTAATGTAACGAAGTAATAATACTTCGTTACAGTACTTAAGCATTTTTTGGGAGTAGGCTATCTGTACTTTACTTGAGTTTTTATATTTCAGCCAACTTTTACTTTTACTCCACTACATTTCCTAATTAAAATGTATACTTTTACTCCGATACATTTCCCCGAAGCATATTCGTTACTTACTACAAAATAGTCAGAAGTCATAAGAACACGGACTGCAAGAAAGCAGGTTTGACAAAACAGTGGTCTGGCGTTTGCAAGTTAGACTCCTAACACCTTTGCTCACGTGCAAACAAGTGCACACACAACCGCGGATGATTCATTTCCCACTCAAGTCGAGTCAGGGGTGTGCGATAGCCTATACATAGCTGCCATAATATGGTAAGTGTTGTTGTAATGATGTGCGATCTGACATTATCAAGGCTATCACCAAATCACACACAGAGTGCATGCAAGTTGATGTATTAATTAAGCTATTAAAACTCAAAATTCCAGGCATTCTAAATTCTAGACGGCAAAATGCTTCTGTATGCTTTTTATATTTATATAATTTAATATGGTTAACTTAATCTATATCACACAAAGAGTACAGTTTTTCTGCAGATATAAGCATGAACACATTTAATAATCATTCTATACAATTTCAGTAGGCCTAAAGCAATAAGCGACTTACATTTTTAGACATAATATTGCTTGTTTTTGCTCAATTTTGCCAACGCAAATAGTTCCAAACAAAGATCACACAGCGTTGTTTTGCGTTTCAATGGACGGTGTTTACTTATTGAGTGAATCAGCTTTTTGAATGAATCGGTTGAATAAATGATTCAGTGATTCACTCATTAACACAGTCAAATTCTTTGTTTCTGAATGATCAGTCGTTTGAATGAATCGGTTGAATCTCAATGACTCACTCATTAACAATCACTTGCTGACACCTACTGGCGGTTTTAATTTCACATTTCGACTATTGTTTTCATGTTTTAAATTATTTCAAATATCAGTATTCAACATTTTGTTAAAAACAAAACATTAAGCCTATTTATGCATCTGTAACTGCAGGTTAAATGCATCCATGCCCCCTCTGAGATACATTAAACTGTGTGAATACATCTAAATGCTATTTCAGATGCAGATTCCAGAAATGTTTTCTTATGTTGGAATGAAAGACACTAAGTACCGGATGAAGTGCTTCTTATTCTTACCCAAAAAATACAAAATGGAAGAAAGAGTTAAACCTGAACACAATCTTGCTACTCAAGCTGTGTATGAACATTTATTTATTTGCTTCTTTTCCATTTTGCATTTACTTGTACTTTTACTTTCAAGTACGGTTAAGATTTTAAAAATACTTTTCGTACTTAAGTACAATAAATATCACATACTTTAAGACTTTTACTCAAGTAATATTCTAAACGGTGACTTCAGCTTCTACCAAAGTAATTTTCTGGTAAGCTATCTGTACTTTTACTTGAGTATGGCTTCCAGGTTTTTGAGTGATGTGTGCAAACAACCAAATGCAGGTTTATTTTCACACTTGTTCTGCACCTGCTTAGCCAGCTTTTGGCACGTTGCATCCTATGTGTGAATAATGCCATGGTTTATTTAAGATCATTTCCTTTCTCTTGTTCTTCTCTTACTCTGCTCACTCTCTTTTTGTGTCTTTGAGTCCTGTTATATTATACCTATGTTATAACTTCTAATTTTGTGTTAAAATTTAGTTTAAGTAATTATCTGTTCAGTTTTTTTAAAGAGTGCTTTCGTTGCTTGATAAGCTAGTTTCAAAGTAGTTTCACCAACACTGCAGTGCATGCTGGGAACTGTAGTCCTGCTGCAGGCATCTCTATTAGGCTATTTAGGATCCTTTCTGAAACTGTATACAATAATAGTAATAATAATAGTAATAACCAATATTTCTTTCAGCATTAAGAGTACATATGAAGAGTTCAGATGCAAAAGCCTCTAAGTGCCGTTTGAAATGTTCTTCTAAAATGAGCATTTTTATCAGGCTCCTATATGTAGGTTCAGTAATTTCACTTTAATGGCAATGATTAGGCTCCTTTCTTTGCCATTAAAGTGAAATAACTGAACATAAACAAAGGAGCCTGAGAAAAATACTAATTTTAGAAGAAAAGTTCAGACAGCACTTCATATTTAAAGTTATTTGCTGAAGGAATGATCGGTACATTATACTTTTCTCTTTTGCCATTCCTCATTTCGCACATCCAACAGTGCAACTGAGAATAAGGAGTGAAAATGTATCCCACAATGCAGTGTTTGACACTTACGTCATAATATCAGTAACATAAAAATAGTTTTACCCCCAACATGTGGAGATACTATTATAAGCAATTTAATGAGATAAAATGTATTGTTGTTATTCTCTACTGTAGTGCATTTTCATGGCAGAATTTAAAGGATGAAGATAAATGATCTTGATAAATACATCAGTGATATGTTTATTTTTTTATTACAGAGAGATAAAGAGGATCCTGAGGTGGTGTATGCAGGAATCACTGTGAGATGCTGATCAGACTCTGATTCTGGAGGTGGAATATTGTATTAGTGTCCAAATGTTTTTATTTGAATATAAATGTATGCATATTTTTCATGTCACACACACACAGATCTTTGAATATTAGTGAGGATAGTGGATTTCATACTAACCCTTACGAAAAAGAAGTTTATTCAAGTGTGCTATTAGTATACTTCTTTTAAACTAAAAAATAGGAAAGTATACTTTTAGTTTACTTTTTACGCACTTAAAATTACATTTAAGTATACTTGACTTATACTTAGAAAAAGTCTAAATATATCTGAGCTATAATTGTGCTCCTAGAATCAGTGTTTTAATTGTTATACTGTAGGGGGCGCTAGTGCACATCTTCTGTACAGAATTTCATAAAAACACAAGTGAAGAAGAAACCGAAACAACAGATGCTTCCACATGTATTCTAACACAATCATCAGACATAAAACAGACTTAAGTATACTTAATAAAATAAACTTGAAGTATACTACTTTTTGGTAAGGGAAGATAATTATATTTATCACAACTAACTCTCACACAAACTTCTTGACTTCATTCAGTTCAAAGCAAAACATGATTTGTGCACAAGCCATCTTATGCACACTTTTAATTCAAATTATGAAAGCAGAAGGGACCGTTCACACAGAACATCTTTGTGCATTCCACTGCGCCATTTTGCATATTCTTTCTATGTTAACCACTAATCTCTATAATGACTTGGTTGCTCATTGCGTTCTCAACTACCATTAGGCAGTGAAGCCACTGGAAATGTTGGAGCGGCCATATTTCTATTCCCTACCGACAGAATGCATCTTTGACTGACAGCTAAAACCTTGACCTAATATCATCCGATTTGAAGTGTATCAGTCACACAGGATTAGTTCTTTGGATATGTAGATTATTTTTTACTATGTCCACAATCTGTAATGTTTATGGACCATTAACCCTTTTGTTTGTGTCTTTTTAGCAGCATCTGTGTATGAGTGTCACATTTTTTGAATGAGCATAGTTTTTATACAGGTATATAATATATTAAACCACATTTAAACTCACGGAACTAAATATTTAAACATTACACACACATTTTACTTTTACTATTAATTTTAGTTTAAGTGTAATTAACCTGTCCGTGTCATTACTTTCTGAAGAAAATGGTGCACTCTTAAAAATAAAGGTGCTTCACGATGCCATAGAAGAACCTTTCTGTCTAAATGGTTCCATAAAGAACCTTTAACATCTGAAGAACTGTGGCTGTGGGTGTTTCCATTGAAAACAATCTGTTGAACAGCTCAGGAAGATGTTGATCACGAATGGGAAAAAAAATCACTTATAGTGTGAAATGAAGAAAAAAGCTGATAACAATCAAATAAATGTGTGAACTTTAGTCCCTTCAGTTTATATTCCACGCTGACTATTTTAACACGTTGCATTCATGGCTGTTAAACCCCATCAGTTTTCTCAAATATATTGATCCATAGATGTTTGGTCTGATCAAGTATCTTCATTGTGTTCAGCTTAAAATCATTGGTTTAGTCTGTGTTTAGTCACCATAATCAAACTCCAGTCCAACTAAATCAGCCCCAACACAGTATAAGGTGACAAGCAAATTATGCAGTGTTGGGAGCTCCAGGAACATGGTTGGAAACCACTGAACTAAACCACCAACATCAGCTGCGTCAGTTGACTGACTTACCACATGAAAAGCTTTTCAGCAAGACAGATGAGTTCAAAACAACAATCTGAAAAATTTTACAGGTTTACAGTTGATCCAGGAACATGAAATCACGTTCACCGAAACGGAAGCTTTCAGGAGCCACAAGTGACAAAAAAAGGTGCAGATATTTTTTGTATGTAAACGTGTGAGAGAAAGAGATGAAGTGTCAACAGCTAACCTCCACCCACACACTTTC